CCTACAGGTAACACGGCACCACTACACCTCCTACAGGTAACACGGCACCACTACACCTCCTACAGGTAACACGGCACCACTACACCTCCTACAGGAACTCAATGGCAGGTTCGACTTTCTTCAGAATCAGGATCATCTTCATTAAAGTGGTTTTGTTTGCAGATTCTTCTGCTGCCGTATGAACATGTTACAGAACTAATGAGACAGGTGACCCTTTCAGGTGTAACCCGGTGATTCAGCAACCGTGGCTGTTTCAAACTATAGAGGAAATTTTTATGTTTAAGATGACGCTTGTTGATGTTTTCAGCTTTTCTGTCTCAGTTGCCGGAAAACAGACACCAGGCTGGGGAAGAACTAATAAACATTTAGAGATGTTCATTTATGTGAATAAGAAGTTCTCCCTGAATCGTGTGTTATCAGCGTTTATGGCCTTTTTCAGTGAGCTGTTCATATAACACCATCACTAAGAGAGGCTGCAGGGTCTCCTGCTCTGGCTCTAACTGTGAGCTTTATCAAAAAGGAAAGTTTTTGATTCTGAAAGCAGAAAAAATGTCTGTCTTCTGAATCCAAACTTTGTCTGAGAGCCAAATGTACTTAGATTTGAGCTAAAACTCGATTCACTGATGAAGAGGTCATGTTCAGCTGCTGTCCTTGCTAAGGCTTTTACAAAAAGTACCTTTAATCATTCATTTCATGTCTGCAGAGCATTGAGAGAGTGGCTCAAAAAGCTGGTGGAGGACAGTTTAATGTTTTAACGATTATCACTTTTTCGTCATCATCTGTAGTTGTGCTTTAAAAGCAATTTCATTTCAAGTGGTTCAAACCTTGGAGGTGCAACAGAAGATGGAGGGATCTTTTGTGAGCCTCGTTTCTTTCTTCATGTTTCAGCGATTACGTGATCGAGGAGAAGACGGCCGTGCTGCAGAAGAGGGAGAGCGAAGGATTTGGCTTCGTCCTCAGAGGAGCTAAAGGTAGAAACCGAGGGACGGGTGGTAAAGTGGTGGGCGTTTGGAGGAAGAGGAGGAGAGATTAAAAAAAAAAAAGCAAAAAAAAAGCTCCTTGCTGTGTTTCATGACACCTACACAGTCCACAGAGTCTGGCTTCCTGTGGAAGCAGAATCAGACTCCATGGACTGAACCCTCGCTAGTCTGAGGTGGGAGGAGCTTCCCTAACTCACCGGCTCTCTCTTCCTTTCCAGCTGAGACGCCCATCGAGGAGTTCGCTCCAACCCCGGCGTTTCCCGCCCTTCAGTACCTGGAGTCAGTCGACCAAGGGGGCGTGGCCTGGAGGGCGGGGCTACGGACCGGAGACTTTCTCATCGAGGTAATAGCGGACTTCATTTTATATTCAAGTAGACACTTAAATCAGTCAGCTGACAGACATTTACTGACATTTTTTCATGTTTTTTTTCAATACTTTATTTTGTTTCTTATTCATTTTATTTTTTAACTTATTTTTTATTTTCATATTTTTTTGTTGGTTTATCATTCTCAAGCATATTTGTCATATGAGCACGCTCTGTGAACAGAAAAGAAAAAATTAAGATGGAAACTTGATATTTTCTGACCTCAGTTTTAACAGGTTTTTTTTTACTTTTTAATCACCTACAGGGACAAAAAGCTGTGAATCTTTGTGTTTGGGCCCGTGAAACATTTAAAACATTATGACTTGAGTTGTTTGTCTTTTCTCCAGGTGAACGGTACCAACGTGGTGAAGGTGGGTCACCGGCAGGTCGTCTCTCTAATCCGGCAGGGAGGAAGTCGCCTGCTGATGAAAGTTGTCTCAGTTTCCAGGAAATCTGAAACCAACCTGATCAGGAAAAAAGGTAGAGCCACCTGCTGTCCAGCCTTAGTAAGATTTGATTTTATTGGTACACAACAGTGTACAGTTAGTACAGTGATTTAAAACAAAGAAAGTCAATCTTTTCAGGCCTAAAAAGGACTACAATACAATAACTTAGGTGTCATATAAAATGGGTTTTATTCAGTTCTGATAACATTTAAATAAGAAAAATAAAAATGAACTGGGAAGAATAAAGTTTTATTTTAGTTTTACCCCCTTGTTTCAATAAATAATCAAAACAAATCAAGATGTAATTATAGATGTAACAGTCAAACCATTGTATAAATACAAGACGCAGTTCAAGTTTAGTTAGCGAGGAGGCAGCTGCACGTGCTCACTGGAGCTTCTGTGTATTTGACATGTCAGTGACATGACGGCTATCTGTGAACATGTGACTCTTTACAGGGAAACTTATCTCAGCACTCTTTCTTTTTATAAGTGCTGTAGACCAAAATACCCCACCCCCACCCCCCAACACACACACACACTGTGTACCACTAATATGCAATCTTGCCTTGTAGCACCGCCCCCTCCAAAACGAGCCCCCAGCACCTCCCTGACCCTGCGATCCAAGTCCATGACGGCTGACCTGGAGGAGATAGGTAAACAAACACACACACACACACACACACACACACACACAGTTAGACTGTAGCGGTGTGTGTTGCTGACCTTTGCTCTGTCTGCAGCCAGGAGGAGACGCTTCGGTGAGTCACATCGACCTCACGGTCATCGTGTTGTGACCCTGCGGTGACATTTGTCTTTGCAATCTGTTAGCATGATGTCGCAGTGATGTCATCAGCTGCATTTCCACCAGAGTCCAGGTTATTTCTGTGCAGACAGTTTTAACCAGACACAGTCGCACAGCAATGACACCAAGCTCTGAACATCCACTGGAACTCCAAATACCCGCCTGTGTGTAGTGACCGTGGACAGGTTGCTGGTGACTGAGTGGAGGTTTAAAGATGAGGTGTCCATCAGAGTCGCAGTCTGACAAATATTTAGCAGCCCACCCTGCAGTGCAGTGAAACACTGTTTGTCCCCTTCCCCTCCCCCTGATTTCTTAGGGGTTTTTGCATATTTGTCACACTTACATGTTTCAGGGATTTACGAACAAATTTAGCGCCTCTGACCACACGCACAATCAAAAGATGAAGCCGTGTCTCCAAGTGACACTAATCCCCCAAATACTCAGAACATTAGCACAAAACATAACTCCTCCCAGCCCAGATGGGGACTTTGTGAAACCCACAAAGTTAGTCACCTGGCCAGCCTCCTTCATCGAAGCACAACAAAGCTGATTTTAAGGGCACAGGGTAAATGACAGAGGAGACAAGAAGGCACAGAATTAGGATTTTGGGGAATTCGGGCCAACACTTTATCTCCTGGAATGTTAGGTGGAAAAGCAGCTGATGTTTTCCATTAATGTCGCGACTTTTCAGGGCTGTAGCTGAATCAAGTATAGCTTCTACAATTACACACAAACAGCACGTGTTCGTTTTTTATTTGAGGCTCGTCCATTTTTTTAAGGCATCATTGATATAAGTTCATCTACCCCCTGACCCCTGTTTTTCCCAAAAGGGGGGGATGCTACAAAAAAATGATGCTTGAAAAACCTAAAAAAAAATAAAGAGTAACACGGTGATTCTTGAGTTTGGAATTAGATTCTTCTAAGCGCTTTTAAATTGAAACACCTTTTTTTGTCTATTTTGACACTTTTGAGAGTCCACGTTTTGCGTGAAGTCCTGCTGCAGCCCTGGTGACTGATGTTGTGATGTAGCTCTGATGTCATGATTTCGCCACAGTGTTTGTCACGCTGTTTGGAAACTTTCACAGTGGTGTGGTCGTGTACCGGATGCTTAATCATGTCTTGTTAGGAGTCTGTTCATGTTCCTCTTTGTCGCTCCAGAAAAACTGGATGAGATGTTGGCCGGAAGTCAACAGGAAGTCGTCTTGAGGGGCCGCCCATCAGATGACTTCAGGGCGGCGACGGTGAAGCAGAGGCCAACCAGCCGGCGTATCACACAGGCAGAGATCAATGTAAGACACGGTTGAGCTAATGGGATAAACACAGAGCAACCGTAGCGAGAGGATGATTTTTAATCAGAGATTCCTGAGTCGCAGGCTCTCACAGCTCAGTGTTTACCTGCACACAGACTAATCAGATTTTCTTCTCTCAAAGCCTTCAAGCCCCCATAACATCAAATAATAAACTAGAGATGGCACGATACCACTTTTTTATGTCCGATACCGATATCATAAATTTGGATATCTGCCGATACCGATATAAATCCGATATAGCGTATTTTATAAACAATAAAATGTTGGGTTTTTTTAAATATCTTGCTGCATTTTGTATAAGTTCATACTCAAGTTTAAAAAAACAAAACAAAACTAAAGCTATTCTGTTAAACCTGTATGAAAAAAAATACACTACACCCAAAATATTTCATACATCAGCGATACTGATCAATCTAATAAACTTAAACCTACACTATCCTCCCTATTCTGGTATTTTAAAGAGTACTTAGTGGAAATATTAAACAACCTAACTAATAGGGTTGTCAACTCCAAGCAAAAAAAAAAACCCATAGGGAACCATCCCCAACCAAATCAATAAAAATCAGTAATTTTTCTACAATAATTAAATAGATTCAACATCTTTCTTCAACAGAATTGCAGACTGCACAGATGGTATCTTCCCAAAGGAAAAAGTACTATAGCTTACTAGGGTATAAATTTAATCGTTCCTATATACAATAATGGATTTCTTTACATCAGATGAAAACTTTGGTTGTAAGATTCAGATCATTATTTATTAAAAGTAGTGTTGTCAGTGTTAACCTTGTTAAAATGACGTCATTTTATCAAGGTTAACACTGACAGCACTAATTAAAAGCTAGACATGACATTTAGAAAGAAAAGTATGTTTTTGTGCCCCCCTCCTTTCCCTGTTAATGCCCTACCTGGCCCCCTGGCAAAACTTTGCTAGACCCGCCCCTGCACAGTTACCAGCTGTCAGCTACTTAGAAAAGGATCCTGGTGTAGAAAGTAATATTAAATAAATTCTAACAGCAGCTTCTCAAGCTTAAACGTGGCGCTGTTGTTTATCCACCTGTTTCCTCTTTCTGGCGCGAAGTAGATAAGATAAGATAACCTTTATTAGTCCCACACGTGGGAAATTTGTTTTGTCACAGCAGGAAGTGGACAGTGCAAAAGTTATGAAGCAAAAATTAGAATACAATAAGAATAAATACAGTACACAACTGTACAGAATAGAATAAAATAAAATACTATATACAGTAGAATAAAATAGAATAAAATATACAATAAGAAAAAAAATAGAATACAAATGCTATATACAACTGAGTAAAAATACAACGTTGCCAGAAAAGATTATTGCACATTAGTGTTATTGCACATTTGTGGATGTGTGTGTTTGATAAGTCTTTATTGTGGAGTCTGACAGCAGTGGGGAGGAAAGACCTGTAAAAGTAGCTGATAAACAAACAAGAGAGATAGGACTTGCGTCAGAAAAGCCGATCAGCTGATCATTGATTAGTTTCATGATTGAAGTAGCAGCAGGAGAGGGAGAGAATGAGAGGCAGTCGCTCCCAGCATTCGCTGCAAATGATTTACAGACATTCAGAGATGAACTTACACACTTGCTTTACTTCTCTGGGATACCTTTAAATGCCGGTTTGGAAGCAGTAGCGAGGCTCCAAATGCTCAACCAGACCGCCAATAGGTCTCGCACGCCACAGCCGCTCTATCGTGAGATGCATACTCCTCCGATGTGCAAAGGTTATGAGCTGGGTTACGCTATGTCGCAAGTTTTGTGACGTGCTTTTGTGATATTTAATGGATCGGATTACATTTTTTATTTCTCTCCGATATCCGATCCAGTAATTTAAGTCAGTATTGGACCGATACCGATACGTAATATCGGATCGGACCATCTCTATAATAAACAAGCATTTATTTTAGCTGAACCGGTCGCTACTTACTGGAAATAGATTTGGTCACGGTAAAGATTTCAAAATCGGTGGAACAGTCTCTGTGCAGATCAGTCAAATATGGCTTGTTTGTAGCCGGGTTCATGCTCACAGGTATTGCTAATCAGGCACAGGTCAGGCACCTGAATGTCAGTAGCAGAATAATCTGTCTGGCATTGCCAGAGAGAGATGGTGAATGGTAAAAAGAAAAACATTGTGACTAATAAGTATTTCTATCCGAAGACTGATTTGAACACTTTTGTTGAGAAAAGGGGAAAACACCTAGTTTGAACATTTACCCTGGTTGCACCGGAAAATAAACTGGATTTATTTACTTCATAGCAGTACTGACTTCATATGTAAAATGTACATAGTTGTTAGCATAGAAAAGCAAATAAATATCTTAATTCTTGAATTTTTGACAAAATCTTTGTGTTGTTTGTGTCTGTAGTCGCTGTTTGAGCGTCAGGGTCTGGTGCCCCCTTCAGCTCCAGAGAAGAGCACCATGCCTTTACCCAGAGGGATGTCCAGAACCAAGAGTTTTGGTGAGAAATGTGGCATTACACCAAACTATCTCATAGGCTCACATTTTGTAAAATATGTCACTGGCTGAGCATAAGAGTACCGGAAATAGGAAAGTCAAGGCATCATTGGCTTCACATTTTATGACCCAGGAAGAAAGCCAAATCATCATAGTGCTGCTGTAATAGGCAGACTGGTTTCAAGCTAGCTAACACCACAGATAACTTTATACCAAGAACTAGGGATGGGTATCGTTTAGCTTTTATCCGATACCGGTGCCAAACCGGTACTTTTGAAACGGTGCTCAAACAGTGCTCAAACCGGTGCTTAAAGAATGGAGAACACAAAGTTGGTCCAAAAACCTCTCATGTTTAACTGTTTTCCCCTTTTTCTTTGGTCATTTTAGCCTTTTTGGCCAGGGTGAAGGGAGTATCTGCCATCAAACAAGAAGACAGCCGCATGTAGCTATGATG